CGCTGCGTGGGCAGTCGCGTTGTCATGATCAAGCAGCCTGTCCCCGATTACTACAGTCTTCTATTTCCCTCATAATCGATCGTTTAAACACTTGCAGACACATGTGTTTGCTCACTGTGGTGCCATTGTGGACAAATTCAGCGTAAACGGCTTTCTTATAACCGAAAAATCAAATCAACGTGGACATGAAACAGAATTCGGTTTTGGCGATCTGTTCCTTAAAGTTTGTTATCGAAAAATCTTCCAGGGCGTTTGAAGGGAGTCTAACAGAATAATTTCCTGTTTGCTGAGATGGTTTCTCACGAACAGTATTTGGGAAAGTGGACAGAAACAGCGCCTAAAGAGGGCAGAACTGCTAATCTAATTGCTTACAGAAAAATATTTTTGTTTTTTCATGCCTCTTCGTAAATGGGGCCCTACTCACTGTCGAAGTTTAGTCAAAGCTAATGCTATCTTATTGCTGGGATGACTGAATAATCATAGCCCTTACTTTAAGTTGAACTCTGGAAACTTCGGACGATTGATCGTCATCGGCGCGTAAACTGATTTCACGCGGTTGTGTGTAGTTTTGTGATGGGTGGGGGTGCTGAGGCAATCGACGAGAGGACGCCGGAACTGAAGGTGGAATCGCCTGAGGATTTTGTCGACATCCTTGGCAATGGCTTGGTGACTAAGAAGGCGAGTGGTGATCTGTTTTTAATATGAATTTTTCGGTCGAGGCGGGGTAGAAATATTAATTTCCGGTTATTATTGAAAAATTCGCCAATACTTAACACGTTTCCCTGTCTTTTTCGTCGCTATTTCACTGTAGGCGGCTATTTTCGCCCCTTTCGGTGACGCACCTGCGATTCCGGCCGAATCCATTGAATTTTTTTACAACTATTGCAATAGCTATTTTCCCCTGACCTAGGTCGGAGGAGCGTGTAAAAGTCGCAATATCTGTCGAATATCCATCCTACTCTGGGAAGGTGATCTATCAGTCCTTGTCCGCGTCCTTTCAAGTCAGGTCAGGCAGCGCCTCGTTCTCTTGAAGCATAGCGCACAAGTGGTTGCAAGGAGTTTCCATCCTTCTCCTGTCGTTTTGAAGATGAAAAATGGGATTCTAACTCTTCGCGAATCAGCTTTCTGTTTAGCTTCTTGCACATATGTCTACTTGTGACTACCTGGAGTGGCGAAAACAGCTACAGACGCACGTAACATTCGTTCCGAAATGCTAAGTGGGAAGTCTGTTTTTTTTCAGCTTACCCAATGACAGATGGCGGTGTGCCGGCAGCAAACGTCACCGTCACCAAGGTTCGCATTACCGGATTTGTCTGCAGCACCCTCGCATTATATAGCTTTCTTTTACGGCGTATAACTAGGATACGTACCGCTTGTCGCACTCTATGAACTTCGGCCGGGTTTTTTAAAAATGCTGCCGCGAAGAACGTCAATATTTTCGGCCTCCAAATTGACTAAAGCGAGCATGCACGTGGTCGTGCTAGGTGCAATTTCAGTTCTGTGCGACCGCTGAGGCATGTCGGCTTTCCGATCTGGACCACGTCGAAAATGTCGCCGTATTGGCCTGAACCCCTGTTGACTTTTATGGTGTTCTCTATGGAGTGGATGAGATCGTCTAGTCCACTTGTCTATTTGTAATTGCTGTCAAAATCAAAGTATTCCCTAACGGCATCTCTGAATATAAGAAAGTAGCTCCGTGGTTGACGCGTGCTTATAGGGACAGGGGTTCCCAGTACTTCAGCCCTCAGTGGCTACCAGTCAGAAAACCTAGATTTTTTCATAAGCTCTTCGTGGAGTCCATAACTTCATCGCAAAATTAGTCACCACAGATACCCGCGTTTACTTGACGCCTATCTGACCAGTCCTCTTCTGTTGCAAATGTTGGTGTTGATGATGAACGGGTGGAAATCAAACCTTCCCAATTGCCCTTGTCCGAGAGCAGTCTTCCCTAGTATATATATCCAGCACCACTCAACAAAGCCTGCGTTGGTAGTTTGGGACTATTTTAAAGTTGGCTGGATCGGACATATGCACATACGCAGAAGGTGCAGACACCTTCATTGTCGGCTGCTGTCGTTACACTCTTTCACTCGTTAAATTTCCGAAATTAAGGCAATACCGGCCACTTGACAGCAGGTACGACATGAGAAATTGGACACCCTGTATGCGGACATACATAAAGCACCTTTATTCTCATTGTCTCCATAACCGATCATTTTGTCTTATAAACACATCTCAACCGTTCATACGCATAAATGCGAAAAGTTGCGACCTTACTACACTTTCATCAAGCTCATTAAGCAGGCGTATTACTTGCAAAACCTCTTCTGTATTTACGATATGCCCTTATAAAAAACATCCATCTACAACAGCATCCTTATATGCCGCATCCATGTCGCATGCGACATAATCATATAGGATCGCCAGTTATCGGATTTGCAGTTTTAGTGAAAACTTCAACCGTGCTGCAGTTTGCACCATGCCTGAACTGATCTTTTTGCCACAATGAACGTGGTATATTGTTAGCACACGCCTAGTGAACTGATGGTCGAAATACGCACAAGCTGAATCACGTCAACTTGTAAACCATGAATTTGCTACATTACCATCGAAATTTAATTGGATGCCTGTCGATATTCTTTTTTAAGGTTCTGAAAAGGGGACTTGGCCGCGACAGTCGTCCTAATCACGGTGACTCTGTTGTCATCAGCTATGAGGGCTGGCTCGAGGATGGCACTGTAGTAGACACGGAAAGCCATTTAAGCACTGTTCTTGGCGAGGGGGACTGTATTCATGGTAAGTTAGTCAGCAAAAATCTTATGCTGTCAGCTTTGCGCCTCGCGCTTCCTTTAGCTGAATTAAAGGAGGAGTTCGAACTGAAGACAGATTCTCGTTTCGCTTACGGCGATTTAGGCCGGTGAGTTTTGTTGCATTTCTTGTGACTGAACTGCGTGCCTGCTTAGCAGCTTTTGTATTATTCCATTTTAGAGTTAACACATCATACCTTCATCTGAGTCATATACCTCATTATGTAGTTTGATGACAGTCTTTTGACACGTTTTGTTCAAACTGACAACCGCCAAGAACCTAGTCTTCTTTGCTTCACAGTGACTTTACCGGCGATGTTTCGATAAGAGTGGCCTGTATTTTTGCACACGATCTGCAGACAACTTTCACGAAGTTTATTATGACTGCTTACGTAATTTTTACACGCAAATGAATTATTTGTATGTTAAAAACAGGCAAGTATGCCAGTTGCATTTTTAAGGCAGGTTTGCTACTTTTAACATATGCGGCTAAACTTATGGAATCACCCAGATCGTTGCACATGTCTGCAGATAGACAACATTACTTGAACAGTGTCCTAATACTTAGTGGCATGGATCATGCACTAAGTTATTTCGTACGTGGTAGCATGCTTCTTTTTGGTAAATTATTTTTGCAATCGCCTATTGACTGTTGTGTTTTTTTTCATTGATTTCCAATGCGAATTTAGAGTGAGTAGTATGTCATGGTAGAAGGGGCATAAGAATTGCATTTGCTCATAAACTTTATTACAGGATCTCTTTAAATCTATTACTTGATATAATTAACAGTTTCAGATTTAAAACAGTTCTTATCTAAATTTCTGGGGATTATGATTGCTTGCGTAGTCTAGTACTCATGGTCTTGTTAGAACTTGTCGCAACGTACGCGGCGTGACCCATGTCTCTTGCGATATTTCATGAGTACCAAGAGGTCTCGTCACAGAAAGAAAGAGTTGTCCTGCAGAAAATGCGCAGACCGCGTATTTCTTGAACAGCAGTTAGGGGATACACTTCAGAAGATGAAGACGCGATCACTGGGACAAGAAGTTTATTTGCCTGACGTTTCGGATTCTCACTCGAATCCATCATCAGAGACATTCGCAGATAGAGGGGATACACTGTTGATTTCCGTACCGCTACGCCGTGGTTTTTTTCTTGCGCATAAAGATGACAGAGTGGAGAAAATTTTAGCTGTGGTCTTTAAGAAGGCCAGCCGCTCCTTAACGGAAAATGTTAGACGAGAACAGTGAACCGAGGCAGTCATTTGCGTCCTGCCCAGCCGAGCTAAACAACCTCCAAGCGCATCTTTTCCTCCCGCAATTTGGATTGTAGACGCACTTGTAGACCGTTTCCAACCATATTAATTTGACGCATAACTTGCTAAATGAAGTAGGATTATCTCGTTAGAGAAGAATTTGCTATTGGTTTTATTCAGGACGGCTCCAGAAATAGTTAAGGTTTCTCATGCTGTTCTCCAACCGCGGGGAGTTTGACGTGCTCTTACTTTGGCTAGTTTGTAACCACTGGGCTTCCATAGACTGGAAGAAGCTGATATGTAGTGGCAAATTATACGTTGAGTGCGACATAGAGCGCGCCGACGTTACGCCTACCCTACAACAGTGATCTGGGTTGCCTTTATGGGACCACTAGGAAGTTATCAGTTACATGCCATGAATGCTGATTACTTAGTGAATGTGACATGAAATTACCTAATTTCCATGCAAACGTAAGCTTTTGATTTTTCTGCCTCTTCAAAAAGACCACCAGAAATCCCCAGCAAGGCCAAACTCACATATCGTGTTGTGCTGGAACAGTGCGGAGATCCTCCATGCTATGAAAAAATGTCAAGAGATCGTCGTTTCCAAATAGCAGATAGAAAACGCGAAAAGGGGAATTACTACTTTTCGTGAGTCCTTGTACATATCCAACTTAATTTCTTTTCGTATTCTCCACTGCCGTTCCACACCCAACTTTCGAATTTCACGCCTTTATTCGGGCGTGCGCACTTTTGATGTTCCAGTAACTCCTTTAACGCAAATGTTGATCAGACTCCTTGAGCCTTCAGCCACTAACTCCTAAGGAAAAGTTAGTGTGCGGTCCTTGACCTCTTTCAGATTTACAAAATTTCTAGTTTTGAGGTTTAGTAGAGGGCAAGTGGATGACTGATCATCCGTGATAATCCTCTGCCGTTTGTGTACTTAGCAGGGACCATATTTACTGGCCATCATCTCTTCCGCATTGGCGACTTTGCACTTTTAGCCCTTCTATAGTCCGTCTTTCCCGGTATTGGGTCAGTTAGTCTTTGTCTACTTCTCTCAAAGGTGCCTTCACTTAGCCCTTGATTATTATTTCTCCTTGCTTATGCAGCCGGCAAGAATATCAGTTCGCGCTGACGACTTATGTAAAGGCTGTCGAAATACTTACCATCCGTTCGGACTCTGATGAAATTCTGTCTGAATCCGAGAACGATGCTCCTCCGCGGTCTCTTACTGAATTCCTGGATCTGGAGATAAAGTTGAGAAATAATGTTGCTGCCTCACAGCTGAAGGTATATCTTACATGCTGTTCATTTAACCTGTCTAGCTGTCTACAGTGTGGTTCCTAAAACTATGGCCAACTCCAAGCATGCTTTGGGAAAATTGATAGTTCACGCGTCCTAAGCTATATGCAGCTGGACATTAGGCAACTCGCTGGTATCGGGCCATTCGGCACACTGTCTTACAAAATAAGAGCTGGTGAGACTAAAGGAACTGAAATGTCGGTCTTAGCCAGTTATGTCTTATCCTTTGCGCTAAACCGATGTTTGAAGGGCTATGAAAAGACGATTAATACCTCACTTTCAAAAAATAAGATGGTTTTGTGACACAGTGGTCAAATGCATTTTTATTACTCAGAACCTAATTGCGCTCGCACGTCGACCTGAGGGCCATTAACTGAAGATTCTGGATTCCACGCCGGAGAAGTTTTGTATCTCCGAGGACTAATCTTTTTCTGCTTGCAATATTTAAGTTTTTCTAAATTCCTACTTGTGGGGACCTGCCTATAGAGTGATATGATTTCGAGCCCCCAAACACTGTCATCTATCCGAACTTGGCCGACTACCCTTAGTAATACTCCCTTTACCATGCAATTATGTATTCACTTTCCGTAGCTTCTCCCAGTGAGGCTTTAATTTATTTCTCTCCCAACTTTTTGCTTTAGCTCGAAGCCTATCAATCAGCCTCAAAGACTTGTGACGCAGTCCTTCAACTAGACCCGACCAATTCAAAGGCGCTTTTTCGGAAGGCAAAGGTTATTTCAACTGCAGATTTTTTGTTTTTAACCAGAAATATTGACCTTCGTAGTACTGACTGGGTCTGCTTTTCTGTGCTGTTAGTAACTATCTGTAGAATGCGACAACCTGATAATGGTTCGGCCGTCTCGAAGGACGTGGCCCATCACTGCCCCTCGAGGTAGACCCAGTAGTGATTTGTACGTGGATTTGCTTATAGTGAGACAGACCTGCTACGTATGTACTTAATTCTCCTCACCCACAGTTTTCTGCTGTCAAAGCAAATGTAGGACGACTGGGACTGGCCGTGGCTGCAGTGGCTGACAACTAAACAGCCCATCTAGGTGTACTACACACGACCTGGTTCCCAACATGTCCCCGTCCACATTTGGGGCAGGGATTTCGGATTTGGGAACCACCGCGATCTGTCCTCGTTCCAAAGGAGGACTGAGTTACCCCGTCAGCTGATAATCCCCCAAGTCACGGCTGTTTGCGCGTCTGATTCATTATAGTAAGAAATGCACTAATTTTCCATGAAGACGACTTCCCCATTATTGGCCTCACTAACCCTTTTTATGATACTACCGAACTGTCCGAGTCAAGCCAAATGGAAATGAGAGTGGGCACAATGGCAGACGTGCCATACGTATATACTGCAGTTGTTACAGGCATTCTCAGACTCGGCGCAGCCCGATGAACGCGTACATTTAACCAGTGGAGCCTCCGTTTTGTTCCAACGAATATAAAGCAGGGCCCGTTTTTGGGGAGTTTACATGGCAGAAGCCAGAAAACACACGGACTGGGCCTCCATTTCGTATAGGTACGTGGGCTAGATTTTATGTGAACAGACATTTGTTCTCCTCACTGAACAAGCAGCTGTCCGGTCCTGCGGGAACTGGCAGCCCTCTGACTACTACATTTTATTCGCACGGAAAGGCCAGATTACCGAGAGCGCTTCGCCACAACAACCTGCTTAGCAATTTCATTTCCCATATGGTAGGCTCTCGCTGGACTTGGAGACTTCGCCGAAGCCATCGCTCTCTTTGAAAAGGTTCTGGAACTCACTCCCTCCTCTACTCAAGCGAAGTTTGAGTTAGCTAAGGTGCGGAATGCATGGAAAAAGATGCGTGAACGCCAGCGGCGTGCCTTTGGACGGAGCTTCAAGACCACGATTTCAAAAGCAAAGCCTACTCGGACCAAACTAGACCGTATAAAAGAGCTGGTGAGCCCTTGTTTGGTTTTTTCTCTGCATGTTTTCAGTGGATATTTGAATTTTAGCTGTGGGGCACACCGTGGACAGTCGAAGTCGACGGTCGAACTGTCGTACGCTGACAAAGACCATCCCTAGATGAGGGGAATTGGCCATTGGCCTTTAGTCAAGTAATCAATCCAGATGTTATGCGCCAGGAGTTTCACGCAACATTTGCTATCTTCCAGGTGCATATTTATCAAAGCTTTGACTTATAAACGTGACTGAGCAATGCTCTTTAGTACTTTCGACTATGTCGAGCTCCCTGATAACCAAGGCCGCATCGATGATAAAAGCTAGAAATTTGGAGCACTTGAGCGCTTTGGCGAACTGACAGACGTTCGAGACATTGCAAATTTGGGACAGAACCCATTCTTGAATCGGACAGTTTATTCCAAACTATCTGTTTAACTACTAACATGTGACCAGACAGGTCGTAGCGGCTGAAATTTGTTGCTTACAGCCGTCTTTCGCACCACCTCTTACATAACTTTTTTTCGCTACAAGTGCCACCGTTACCGTTTCGCCCTATCAGCCCTCTTGGTGGCTGGAATCTCCGTAGCCATCGGAGCTGCCGTGACGCGGTATCAAGAGTAAAACCCAATCCTACAACAACATTCGCCTACTCGCCAACTGCTCCGACCTCTCCCCGTCCCGTTCAGTGCCAGCCCAGCTACCCCGCTCTGACACCTCCGAAAGCCTGAAAACTTGTCTGTGATACTCGCTCGGTTGAAACTTTCAGCTGCCGCTGCTGTTCTTTGTACATTGAGCGTTGCTCTGTTTTCTTGCCCTTTATGGTGGGGCACTGCAGGTTTTGTCTCCTGAGCTTTGCAGTTCACCGTTCCATTGCTCCTAAACCAAGTCTATCTTTCTAGCATTCATCTGCCCTTCCGCCTTATCTTTGCTACTGGGTGTCCCTTCTCGTGAATTTGACCAAAACCCGTACAGGAACCTGTTCATGCAGCTGCCAGTAAGACTTAGAGCGGACTACTTTTGTTCCCCTCTCCCGTACTAAGTACCTTCGCCGCTTTTTCCAAATTGATTGCTGATCGTTTTCGGCCCTTGAGTGTCTGTGCAACGCTTGCTTTTCAATTCGAAGCAAGTGTACGCGACTACGAGTACAAAGTACAAGCTGACTTTTTGACACAATGCTTGAGATTGGTAAAGGCGGCAAATTGAGCTCATAACCAACTATGTATCGCCCGGTTTGCTTTATGAACGTGGAAGTAGGTCTACTTTTGTCTCGTTACCCTCACTCTCTCTCACAAGCGGATGAAGCCGCACTTCTCAACACTATTTGGTAATTTGGGCTACCCGACTTGCTTCCAGGCTTTGGTTTGCCTACATTTGTCGGTGATGATAATCTCAGTTTTCAAAGACGTCTTGATCGCGAATTAGACCGTAAGAGGGCAAGACTGCACGGATTCGCCCTCTCTTACCAGTTCTTGTGTGTCTGGTCAGGACTGGATCGAGACTTTCAGCGCTGAGATTAATGCAGTGGTTGGCTTACCATGACCTGCGCATGCCACAATGGCTCGCTGGTCCGCATTCCCCATCGAACTAGATCTGGTATGCTAGGTCAGTCATGTCTGAAAACAAAAAGCCAGTAGGGTGTTTGGAGCGAATTGACTACCTTCCCCAAGTTAAAGCAGGTCCTGAGTTTTGATCGATACGGACGTTAAAGCCTTGCTGAACCGCAGAAGAGAGCCTGGTTTTGGGGTGGGCCAATGGGAAATATTGCATCCACGAGCGAATAGGCCTTCGAATCGACCGCCATCACCCCATGGTCTTTCTCCCTAGACATTAAACTTTCAGCAACTGCCTGGGAATTTCACTCTACAGACCTATTGGGAGGATTGACTATAATCCATCGAATGGCCTACACGATCGCTTCCAGCACTTTGCTTTGATTCCGCTTTTGGACGAGGTGGGACGTTCTCACAATGAGGAAATCTGAAAGGTAGTTAAATTCGTTTACAGGCATTTAGGTAGAATTGCACGAGGAGCCAGTACAGACGCCTCGGCGATTTCCGGGTTGAGTTCCTTGAATCTCCGCCAACGTGATTTTGCGCGATTGATTAATGACGAAATTAATCTCAGTGAATAGTTATATTTAGGTCGCTCGGTGTCGAAGGGTTGTTTATCAACGGGCCAGGGAGAGAACAGACCCCCACACGAGAAACGTCCTTGCTGCCATGGCGCGTTGGGCCTTATCGCTGGCTCTGTTGCGGAATTACGTTTCGTCCAACACTGACTTAAGAGTTCCAGACACGATGCGCTTATACGCCCTTTTTTAAACCCTTCTAAACGTCGTCGAACATGGGTCAATTCCTCCTCACCTTTACTTCCCTAGTACGCCCTTGATATCCTATAGGGTCTTCAGCATCACATTGTGGTCGACTGAGTTAATCAGTCAAATGCTCGACGTCAGTAATGATGACGCGCACCCAAGTGACACTTTGAGACCTGACTGGTGACAAGCTTCTTAGCCCTATGCCCTGCAACGCCAGCTGCAAAGCGCCGGAATCGCGTTGCCACTTGGGTGCTTGTGTCGTGGTTGGCTCTGACTACCATGGGGACGTAACCACTGCCACATTAGGGAGTAAAGCTTATTTAAAAACGTTCAAATAAATGAGTAGACAAAATTTGCGGCGGTCAACGAGCATGAAACTTATATAAGGGACTGAGGAAGGATGTCACGTAGTTTACAAACTCATCAAAACCTTAACCCCTTGGAATACTTGATTTCGGCAACGTAGGGGTGCATTGGCTGCTTTTTGGTCGGGGGGTCGGTTGTAATCATTCCAATGTTGCAGGCCGCAACTAATTTCGGCTGTCGATCACTCTGGGAGGATTTGCTCTGGATGCGTTCGCCATTAGCGGCGTGACCATCGTTATTTACCTCCACCATTTGACGAAACTTCTCTGTACTGGCGAATGCGGCTCCTTTGCCATCTATGTGAGCTGTCAAGTAGGTGTAGAACTGTGATTCCCAGTCTTGAGTAGAGTCCCGTTCGTGGTGCACCAGGGAATTTTGTTGGAAATCGGACATCAGAGGAGCCTCCGACGTGTTGGACTCCTGAACACTATCCAAGGTCACCTGAGGGGATAGGTCAGACGATGCACCTATTAGGGCAGCCACTTGTGCTAATTGGAGGCCTTGGTAAACACATTTTAGATATTTCAGTCGCAATACAGAAGTAAAAATACCGATGTTTATTTGCATTAGCTCTCCTTCCCCACAAATACCCAGACTCGTAGGATACTGACCAACCAAAACTAGCGAGAGATGATTACTTGCTCTCATACCAGAACGCCGATCGATCAACGTGACCACGAAGCCGGTTCTGGTATGGGATGGCTGTCGTCCTCATAGTTAAGCGAACTGGTTCCATATGACCAGTGTTCCTCAACCTGTACCTGAGGTCCAGCGCAGCATTCCGGTCATTCCAGTCATCATGTCGGTCAACGTTGACGTGTTAGTCATCAACGAAAGGACAGGCTATGGTCGTTCCCTCCAGCGAGGTTCGTCCCCAAGCTTTTATCTAATAGAGCTAATACAAATTAGAGAACTCGATTCGAAGAAATCGAAACTGAGAAATCCTCCAAAAGCTCTGTTACACTCATCAGACTACTCGGCCTCTTCATTCAAGACTTAAAATCTCAGCGCCTGCCTTCTTTGCGTCCATTAGAAAGCATGGACTTACAAAAAAACAGGTCCGAAAGTGGCGGGTCTGGATTACATTGCACTAATTATGACTTGCCTTCAGGGCAGCCGTAATTGGCTGAAAACCAGACTGCCATTGCTGCGCACTCGTAAACATCCGCGAGAAGCGCCATGTTGAAACAGGCGTCTGGAGTAGGGTCACTACAACCGTGCCTCGGCGAAGAGTGAAGTCATAACTAAGATGGTTGACCAGATTGTTGACTTTCGGTCTCGGGGCATAAGTGCAAATTGGGCAGATGGCTCTGCCATAAGGTGCCAAATGACCTTTTAAATCGTAAATGTGTCATGGGCATCACTAATCAAATCTGGTATATTTTGCGGAGTTCAGGCTGTTTGCGGCACGCGCAAACGAGATACTGAGCCGTCAGCCACCCGCGCCCCATCCCAGCATCAGAACGGCTCTGGCAACAGATTGATGTATGGGAGATGAGAGGGAGAGAGGTCGACTCTGGGGAGCACAGCCCCACGGCACTACAACGCTTTCCTCATTATGTTGAATCTGACACGGTTTGCAACCATCATGACGCACAAAAGTCGTGACTTGGAAGCCTGCCAACTGGCGGAATAACTCCGCCATCGTGGTCAGTTCCGTGTGCGTGTGCGTGCGTGTGGAGTGGTCGAGTGGAGGACTGAAGGTCAGGCTACGATGTCTCCTTCATGTGGCCTCATCAGATGGGACCCGAGCCGCCACTGTTTCTGTGAAAATATTGCTCATTGCGCGTTGACCGGGCCGTAAGTGGCACGGGCAGACGGATCGCTCAACCTTGTCAGTCACTGCCCTCGATCCCGCCCCTGACCGTACTGGCTCTGTCTTGCTATGGAACCCAGATGAGTAAGGGAGGAGACAGTGCAAGAGATGTTAGGCAGGTCTGCTATTACTATAAACTAATTCGTTTGCAGGTTATCCTCCTGAGTCCACCACCTTGTGGAGTAAATGGCGGACACCGTCATTCTCGATGGTCGAATTGACATTTCTTCAATTTAACTTTATGTTTAGATAGACATAGGGTAACAGAAATGTCCTAAATGCAGTTTCTCAAATTCGTTTCTCTTACCTTCCTAAAACTCTGGGCCAAGCAGTCCTGTCTGTCAACAACTGTTGTCTTTGGCCAAGCATACTGATCCTGCACTTCCGTTGCCGGTGGCATCTCCTGATACGCAGGGAACTGATTGTCGAACCTGTCTCCTTGAGCGTCATCCTCAAGGTTGGTCCGAGGGCTTTCGCCCATACTTCCACAATGACCTGCCATAAGCGTTTCCTGAGGTGGCATGGGAGGGTGGGAATCGCAGGACACTGATGATGTCCCTTGGACAGGCTGAGTTTTCGGCTGAATGAAAGTCTGGGACCACTGCAACTCAGTACACATCTGCTTCTGACCATCAAGGTATTTCATACCTGTGGCGGGAAAATTGTTACTTTGCGAGGACCGTGGCATCTCCATGAATTGATTTGGTGCAGCGACCCGACTGTGGTCGGTCGGGTTGTTACTCGTCCAGGATTTGCCAGACTGTTCATTGTCTAGGTCGCTTAGGCGACTCGAGTCAGCAGGTGCGTTGCCGGGCTCCAGGTAGTTGCACAGTTCTGTAACCATGGGCCGCGGACGGGCTCCCACACCGGAGGGTTGCCTAAGTCCGAGGACCTGCTCCTCAGCCGTCAGGACAGCCACAATGGTTGAGAGAATGGCCTGAAGCGTAGTACCAGCTTTTATGCATATTTAATTGCCTCGTCAACGCAGAGGAAAGAAAAAAAAGCTGGAACATACAAGAAATTAAGTTTTACGCTACTGGTTAGGGACCTGTGTACAAATGCGGTTCACTTCTGCAAGCTAAGTCGTACTACGAAAAAGGACGCCCCATGTTCACACTGAGC